TCCTTTCCTAATATGTTTCAGCAAGGACTGTCAACTTCGACTCTTGCTTCTAGCTTTGGAAAAGTTATTACTTCTATGAAAAAGCTAGCAGATTACAAGCCTGAAGACCTTGCATCCGCATTGTTGAGTGCCTTTACTTACAATATTGCACAAGTGAGTTTATGTTATGTGCTTCTGCGTGTTATTAAATTGTACTTATTGTCTCAGCTACTCATAGCTGTTTACATGGATGGCACTCAACCTCGCTTTATTGGAAGAAAAGAAAAGCTAAGAAGACATGCTTGTTGATCTGAAGAAGAAATGCATAGTAGTATAACGACTTTTACTGGAGAAAAGAGGCATAGGGTTTACTCATTCTATGTCACAAAGTGTTTTTTATCTTAAGACAAACTGTTTCAGTAAAAGCATTTTGATTTTGTTTAAACGGCCTTAAGCATGTTATTAATAGGAATAATAGCATTATAAGAAAGTACATGTTATGGGGTACTTTCACCGAATGTTGCTTCCGTAGTCCCTGATTCCTGCTATAGAAAGGACTGAAGAGCCGTGTGGTTTCTCAGTCTGCTTCATCTTCTCCAGCTTGGTAGCATAGGCATTTATGGGGGCATTATGCTTCGATTGATCTCTCCTTTTTTTTCTTTGCTTAGTAGTTGTAAAAGACATTATGGTTTCTGATAAATGAAACCAGAGGGGGAGCCCCTTATAAAAAAAAGGGTACTTTCACGGTTTCCCCTATTGGTGCTGGTCTATTGTTGTCTATTGAAATATGGGTTCATATCACACTCTTGGTATGTGTCCTGCAGATTTCTTTTCTTGTTGCATCACTCTTGGGCCTCAGAAGGGTCTTTTTTGGTGGATCATACATACGTGGACACAAGAGCACAATGGATAATATTTCTTATGCACTAGACTTCTGGTGAGCATTTTATATTTTCCAAATGTATTCCTCTTGGTGAGCATCTGTTCATATAAAAAAAATATAGACTGCTTGTATTTAGTAGTATAAGTTTGCTGTCCTTAAGAGGATTCTAAAGAAACTCCTTTTTGTTTCTCACTGAATGTTTCTACTCTTATTTTATCAACCTTGGAAAGAATCTTAACATTTGAGGTATGTCATTCAGGTCAGAGAGTCAAATGCAAGCTTCATTCTTGCAACATGAAGGGTATTTAGGTGCTCTTGGTGCCTTGATGAGTTACGGGGATCCCAGAGATGAAAACTTGAACCTCGAGGAATCTCAAGAGGTCAGCTCCTATGATGATATCCTTTATATGTTTATCATTTTCTTGCACACTACAAGAAACACGACAAGTTTGAGTATCGTCTTTTATTTAAGTAAAATGCTTGTGCATAATGTGCACCAGTAGGAAAAAATTTCACCCATTTTCAAGTAAATCAGAAGTGAAGGACTGATCTACCATTCCATTTGTATGGTTGTGGCTTGGACGCCACAACAATAACACATAAGAGTTTTTTATGCATATAAGTCGTGTGAATAGGCACGATGCAGAAATAAATAAATGTTATTGTGGTTAGGGTGATTTATCTTTCCAAGCTTAATTGTGGGTTTCCCCCACTGCTGTAGGAGAACAGTCATGAGGCAGCAGGTCCTACTGATGTGACATCAGCAGACGAACATAACGATAGCAACATATTTCCTTATCTCCTTGTTAATATTGGATCTGGTGTCAGCATGATAGAGGTTAGCCAGTACACTGCTTTCATTCTTTTTATTATTTGTGTACTAGCACTTTTATCAGCAAAAAACAATCTTGTCAGGTAATTGGTAAGGGGAAGTTTGAGCGAATTATCGGATCACATCTGGGTGGTGGTACTATCCTTGGTCTTGCAAGGCTTTTAACTGGCTGTTCAAGGTACTATCGATCTAGCTTGTGTGCTTATAAGATGTAGGAATGTTCCTTGATACATGATTAAACAATCTCTAAATTTCCTTGTGGCTTGTAGTTATGAGGAATTCTTGGATTTGAGCCGGAGGGGTGATAATTTGGCTGTAGATTTGACTGTTGGAGACATTTATGGGGAGCGTGGTTATCCAAAGGTATTTGATCTATACTCTGGAAGAATATATTTTTCTGTGAGATTTCTGCTATAATAATAATATTAACATTTATTGCAGAATTGAACAGCAGTCTCACCAGCTGTTGTACAGATTTGAAGATTAGTTTTAGGGCTTTGACATGCTTATCATGGAAATTGTGAATCTATGACACACAAGGCGATCAGTATGCCCATTAATTTTTCTCTCTTTACGCCAGATTGGTCTTCCAGCTTCCACTACTGCAGCAAGCTTTGGAAAAGTGAACTCGGGCAAACTTTCAGAGTACAAAGCAGAAGATCTCGCAGCAGCTCTACTCAACTCTTTCACATACAACATTGGACAGGTATTTTCTCCGGATATTGGAATTACCAGGCACCATCATGAAGTATCCTCTGACGTGTTCTTATTTCTTATCTAGATAGCCTACTTTGTGGCTAATCTATCAGGCCTAAAGAGAATCTTCTTTCGAGGTGCTTATGTCTGTGGTCATGAGAAGACTATGGACAAGATTTCTCGTTCCCTCAAGTACTGGTAAGGAATTTTCTACGTGGATACCATGCAAAATATCTTTGCAATTGTACAGAAAATTCTGCTATCCAGGAACAGGAGAAGAATTGTTGCACTATGACCAGGCAATTGATAATTGCTTCTCTCCTTTTGTTTTGCTCCCAGGTCCAAAGGTGAAGTTCAAACGACATTTCTGTGTCACGAAGGGTTCTTGGGAACCTTAGGTGCATTCTGGAGTTATGAGAACATGGGCATTGATGGCTTGGCATCACATGAAGTCATTAGGGAAGTCTTGCTTGGTGCTCCGTACACCGGACAGTTCCCATCTTCACCATTGACTCCAGAGCAGGAAAATGTAGGTGACACGGAGTAGCGATCTAATCAGAATACCAACATTCTCTTGAGCAGTCCATTGTCAACCTCAGACACTTTCTCCTTCTCATTGGCATTTCACCTTGTATATATGTACTTCTTTTAGGGGGGAAATGTAAACGCTGAAGTTGAGGTGGAGAGGCTGCGGCGTGACAACGCGGTTCTGAAGTCCGAGCTTGAACGGTTACAAAGGGAGAATGCAGAGCTGAAAGCCAAGTTAGTGAAATCCGATGAAGCGGCTACTTTGTAATAAATCAATAAAAGGCTGAAGCATGTCTTGCTGGTAAAAAGAAATAACAAGATGGTGAGATGTGGGGGTGCAAACAGCCTCAACTTGTTGTAACCTGTAATAGTCTTGGTGATGGTTCAAAGGTTATCTACAGAAATAGAATTCCCATAGATAGTTACTCCAAATTAGGATTGCTCATATAGTGAGCTCATGTTGTATTTTTATTTTTATTTTTATACAGTGTGTTTGTATCTATTTCAGTTGTGTAGGCTTTATTGTTGTCTTGTAAATATGGAAGCAGTACTCTAAAACTCTAAAGTAATCAATAAAATCAGTTCTCATAATTTATTGATAAATGTGTGTTGCACTTAAGAATTGGATTTCCCTGTTCCTCTTCCTGAATCAAGATTTTCTTTAATAAAAAGATAAGAGTTTTGGTGAAATGCTGGCGTGATACTAGTCGAGCATTATTTGTTTTTCTTTAACTCTACCCATGGTCACTAGGACCCAGGGCATTTTTTTTAAAGCGAGACAACATGTGGAGACTGCACCTCGAACGTGGGAGAGATATCCTTCCCCTGATTGTCCAAAATGGAAGGATTCCTGCGGGGTAAATGAAGGAAATATTTAGCAGGGTGACCAACCCAGATTGAACATATTATGATAAGAAATAATGCATTATTACAACCATAATAAATTATGCTAAACAGAATATCATGCATTGTCGAAGATTGATTCACTGCTGACTTTATGAAGTACCACGAAGTCGTAAACAATGACAAATAAAGGGGTGGTGTTCGAAAGGATCTCGTGTTGGAGACAATAGATACATCGTGGTTTTACCTAGGTTTAGGGTCCTATGGGTAATATCCCTACGTGAATTGGCATTTTACAAAGTATGGATTGGGTCCATAGAAAGTTAGGTCACATCAGCATAGCCTCATAGAAGGTGATGATCTTAGGCAATTCCTGGCGAGGTCTTTACACATGTTGACCCCTACTGGTAACATGAGAACTATCTTCAAGGCGACTCATGAGGAAAAGATCACCCGGACATAGCATGTCCATCCTTGTCCCCCGAGTGTCCACTCTCGCACGACTAGTGCGGGTCACGGGGTGTGCGTAGGTGTCTCTAGACACTCTTTGGTTGTCTCTCCCGTAGGGTGTACCCCGTACATTATTACTCATTGACACATATGTGTCTAACATCTTTAATCATCTTCAATTTGTGAACGAATAAGTGTTATGCTATATCCAAAATTCCTATCTTAATTATCATACATGCGTGGCAATAATTATATGTGATTTGTTTGATCACAAAGGTATGCCAGGGTCACCATGGATCTCTAGAGACAATGATTTACCCAGGCCCGAGCCCTTTTGGGATGGGTATAGCCCTATTCGTGCTTTGATTGGATTATATCTCGAGATAGATCAATACAATTGTGGTTACAATGTGGAAACCTAGCGAGTTGATACACAACTGGACGACTACGATGGACGAAATAGGCGAGGTGCTATGGATCACTAGGGCTTTTGTCCCTCTTGAAAATTATGGTTGTGTTGAACCTGGTGGCGCTTCGTCCTCTTGCATGGGTTTGCTATCCTATATATACCGACGACATATTATGGATCGAAGAACGCTTCTGAGGGTCACAAGCAATGAATAAGATACTCACAAGGCTATTAAACCTCGAGACATATGAACAAAAGATTGAGTTGAAATTTAAGAATCACAAAATGATTCCCTTTATTCTTGTTCATATATATATGCATGCCACACATCCATGGATGGAACATGCTTATTCATTCATGAGAGACGGATCTATCCATCTTTATATGTCCAAACCGAGGCAGTATGGGGTGTTGTGAACGGTCATCACGTTGCAGTGCCCCGGCGTAACGAGCACCTTGGCGAAGTCCCTCTGGGGCTCCCTGGGGCATCCGGGAAGGTCCTTGAGCACGCCGGAATTGGGATCAGACGTCCGCCCTATGAAGTAGCGCACCGCCTCGCACCGGCAATGCTGCGAGGCGTCGTAAAGCTCCTTGCAGCACCGATCCCTCGGGGTGTTCCCCGGCTCGGTGGATACCGGCGACCCGACGATGCCGACGCCACAAGTTTGCTGTGCGACATACTCCCGGCAGCCTTCAAGCGGGTTGCTCGGAAGACCCATCCCCGGGTAGCAATACGGGCCTGTGGCTGCGGCGGCGGCGAAGACGGAGACCAGGACGGCGGCCAAGAGGAGGTGGGTGATGCTAGACTTGGACGCCATATTATTCTTTCTAGCTTGGTCCGGTTTGTTGGTGTAGTTTCTTGAGGTTGTGCACTGTGCTGGTGGCTGTAAGCAATACCGGACACACTTGCCTGCATATATACCAGAGAGAAATGTAAGAGAGGAGGAGCTGCCAGCTATTAACTAAATCTGTTGTGCTATATGACGAATATGGTGAGCTAGAGTGCACTTAATTAGTTTGTTGGAGCAGAATTTGGAGGGAAATGTAACTGGCTTTGTGTGGAAGCATTGAGATATTCGTAGCTGATCGAGCCTAGCTTTTCTTGTCATGGTTGATGTGGCATCCTTTTTTCTTTCGAACCATGTGGCATCCTTTTCTTCTCTTGTCAAGTTGTCATCGGTGCTTAAAGCGAAACTTTTAGCTAGTTTATACGTGCAAACCTTGTTAAAACTAACAACAGAGTTTGTTTTTGCGCCATGTGAGATCATGTGATAATCAACTATGCGTGTGAGTAACTTCGCAAAGCATTGATTTTCAAATTTATTCGCAAGTCAAGTGTATGCATACAGAT